TATACACACACACACACACACATACATATATATATATATATATATATATATATATATTCACCACAGCTTAATATCATTTTTAAATACTCCAAGCATCGTTTCTTTCAATGAATCTGAAACTGTACCTTAATCATAGCTGCCACATAGCTCTCAGGCCCCGTGAACTCTGTTGGATCTTTTACCTTAACTAGGACGGTGAAATAAAGATAGTGCCATAAGTTATGCTCACAACGGATATGTTCTTCAAAGGAAACACTTTTGTTGTCAAATGCCGACCGATTTAATCCTGAAAAAATTAAAATAAAGTCATTTTAAACAAGATTTCCACTCAATCCTAAAAATTTAAATCAAGTTATGAGTTGTAAATGACACTAGGGAAAAACAAGTAGTCATAACACAGATATATCTTAAAAAAGACTAACTGATTTAAGGTATCATATATACACACAGAAGGTAATATAACAATTCTGGAAAATATTTTTATACATTCTGAGAAGATATACAATCATAAAATACTTTTTTGAAATGTCTGCAGGAGAATGAAGTAACTGAACACACCTTTGAAAAGAAAGGTAACTTGTGATACAGATACACTGTGATAATTTAACAATTTAAAATATATTTAACTAACTTGGGGCAGATTAGGGAGCAACTAAACATTTATATAATTACAGTAATGAATTTACCTACTTACTGAAATACTGGAAGACAATGGAAAACTTTCTAAAGTTTACAATGGTTTAGATGGCATTTACACAGAATACTATTAGAACACTTTTTTTTTCTGTTACTATGGTTTAAAGGACTAATACTAATACATATGAAATGCATATATTATTATATAGATTTCAATGTATAATACCAACCACAAATAAAACAAGTGTTTTTCAGGATTTCCTCTTTCTGTTGTTTCTCACTTCTAAGATCAGCAAAAGTATCAATGATCACTCCAAAGATAAGGTTTAGGACAATAACGATAACAATGAAAAAGAACAGCATGTCATAAACAACTCTGGCGGCGAACAGTGGCTCCTATAAAGTATAAAAATACACCAAAAACTTAGAGTTCAGTGTACATTTCAAGCTCAAACCTTCTCACTGAAAAAAAACAAACAAACCTGACTTAATTAATTGCCTATGTCAACATCTCACTTTCAATATTGCAATGAAATAACAAAATATAATGTATAATGAACAGCTTATCCCCCATAAAATAGAGTTCTAAGTATGGAAAACAAGAACTATATTAATACAAAGTTCTACCTCTGCACTTGGTGTCCTCAATACATCGCCAATGCCCCCACCATTTCTTAGTCCCTGGTTTAAGGTGGTCACAATACACATGATCAGGTAGTCACATGCACGTTCCTTCTGACTTTCCTTCTTGTTGGATGCATCTGGCCTGGCTGTCTCGGATATTACAGGTTCACTCTGTGGTTTTACTGGTTTAGATGACAATTACAGAGAATACTATTAGAACACAATGTTTGTTCCGACTCTCTAGTTTTTACTGTTTTATATAACAATTACACAAACTACTATTAGAACCCAATGTTCGTTCTCTGATTCTCTGGTTTTTTTATTGTTTGAGATGACAGTTACACAGAATACTATTAGAACCCAATGTTTGTTGTGACTCTGGTTTTGACTGTTTTAGATGACAATTACACAGAATACTATTAGAACACAATGTTCATTCTCTGATTCTCTGGTTTTTTATTGTTTGAGATGACAGTTACACAGAATACTATTAGAACACAATGTCTGTTCCGACTCTCTAGTTTTTACTGTTTTATATAACAATTACACAAACTACTATTAGAACCCAATGTTCATTCTCTGATTCTCTGGTTTTTTATTGTTTGAGATGACAGTTACACAGAATACTATTAGAACCCAATGTTTGTTGTGACTCTGGTTTTGACTGTTTTAGATGACAATTACACAGAATACTATTAGAACACAATATATATTTGATTATCTAGTTTTTCCTAGTTTAGATTACAATTAATATAGAATACTATTAGAACACATTTTTTGGTGAATGTTTTGTGTTATAATCTCAAGCAATAGATTGCTACATTATAAGACCTGTTTTCTATAAAAATGATGTGGCTGGTGCTAACACTCATAATATCAAAATATTTTTCCTTCATATGTTTTGTGCTGTATTAAATAAACCAAGCCATAACTGTTTGAGTAGTTTAAATGAAAATTAAAACACCTTGAAAAAAAGGGTATTACACAATAGAGAAATTTGAAAATATTGTTTCTACTATACATCACATCAGAAATGTACAAATGATAAGTTAAATTCCATAGGGAATATTTCTAAATATGTGAACAGCTGCTAGTCAGACACAGCTAGAAATATGAAAGATTGACAAATAAGGTTTGAGCTGGACTAACCTGCTTGATGACCTTATAAAGAGGATAACATTTCAAGCCAATTCAGCATTAATGAATACTGTTAGCTTTGATCAACTGGCTTTACCTAACACATTTCCAGTCCAACATGGTGACCAAAAAATATCCCTCCCCACCCATCCAACATGAAAAATAATAAATAGCAAAAATATTGTCCTTGTAAATAATCCAATTACACAAACTACCTGCGTCCTTACTATCCTTCGTGTTATACATCCAAAACAAAATATCCCTAGAGCAGGAACAGCTTTTCTTATCTTTCCAGAGGCAACCAGAAGGAGTTGTTACTTCTGCTGTTCTCATAAGAGTTCTCTCAGCAAGGGAAATCTTGGAAGAGGGTGAAATGCCTCTTGCTGAAACAGGATGGTAAGCTTCTTGTAATATTTCTGCATTCCATTTCAAGGGTTTTGTGGCTTCAATTTTTTTATTGATAATTCTTACTTACTAACTAACTGAAACATATTTCTTTGGCTTGCATAATTTCTGTATTTCAATTCCTTTTGAATTCTTGTAAAAGTTTCAAAAACATTCATGACATCTACACTTTAATTCATGAACTTCTTACGGCTAGATTATGGTTAAAAAAAAGATATATAGAAACATGTGTATTATTATAATTTACTGTAAAACAAATATAATTCCTAATATCACTGTATCACTAACAGGCCTTTAACATGAGACTAAATCAAGAATTAATACTTTCATTGAATCACCAAGATTTTTTTTTCCCTAAATCAAAACTTAATCCTCTCAGTAAATAACCATGAGTTTTTCTTCTAAATAAAAACTTAATCATTTCAGTAAATAACCACGAGTTTTTTATTCTAAATAAAATTAAAAAATCAAGAATTCTTTATTCTAAATCAAGACTTAATCCTTTCAAATAAATGTGAAGCCCAATTCTATTGTTCGAGTTACTACTTGTCACTAAGTTATACCAGTTTTAAGGAATTTCATTCGTTATAAGTAACCTTGAACAAGAGCAAGAGGAAAGAACAAGAATACACTTCATTTAGCAGTGGAATGTTTATTACATGTATGGTGTTTTGAGATATCTTTTATTTTACTCACAAAGTGATCCTATATTTATATAGAAGTTTCAAAATTTGCATTGAAATTGCATGTGTGTGTCTATATATATATTTAAAGGAAATTATTAACCCCTAAACAGTGCTTTAATGTTATGAATACATCTGATACAAAAGTGAGGTCTTCCTATTTGCAAAAATTCTCCCTGTTCTGGGAGTCTGGTTTGACCCCCCGATATTGTCAACACGGAGGCTCAAACCTGAGGTTTGTTTAAATAAAATATGGAGCAAGAAAAGTTTAGAGAATTATATAAGACTGAAGTAATTTAATATGTTTATTCTTTATATCTGTTGTTAAAAAATAGTTAAAGTAAAGAAAAAGTACAAGCAATTTTTGAAATTTTCATATCAAAAATTCTATTACAGAAACTGCAAATAACTAATTAACAGGATTGTTCACACCCAAACACTCATACCCTCCCCAATGAAATCGAAACAAAGAAAGAAATATAAAGGTATAAATGCAAAATATAGACAAATACAATAATTCAAGAAATATTAATAAAAAATTACTTTCAAAACAGCATCATGCAAGAGAAGGCATGTCTATTATCGTGGAATAATTATTTTCTTTTGTAACAGGAATTAATTACACAACTGCAAGACTATATGTACTAAATTAGATCTAAAATTTATGTGCTAACACTTTTTGTTTTTATTAATTAAAGATATTCTGGGTAAAAAGAGGATTAAAGTTGAATTATAAATACTAAAGTTTTGATGAGATATTACCAACAGGTGGCGATATATTAAAAGCTAATAATCTATAACATGAGAGAAAGAATCAAGAACTCACCACCTTTATAATCCACAGGATTAACTAACTGTTGGTTATCAACTTCCATAAGAAAGTCATCTCGGAAGAAAAGATAACCAATGATGGAAAATAGATATACAAGAATAAGAGCAAAAATTGCTGTCAAGATGATGGATCGACCATTACGAGTTACTGATTTAATAACATTAAGAAGCGTTTCCTCCTGGTACACAACATCGAGAAGCTGCAAAAAATAAAAATCTCCAAGTAATGTTCTTTATTTTAACGTTTTTGGTCTTTATAACTAATAGTTTAGAAGATGGAAAATGAAGTAACAAATAAAACAGCCGATTATGAGACTTACATTTTTAGGTATTTCTTATACAATTACTTGAAATTAAAGTGGAAAAAAATGCACCTTATAAACTAGACAGGGTAAACAATTTCGCCTTGAAACATTGGAATGAAAGTTCATATCTTAATACAAGAAAACAAACAAACCTATTTCTAGTACATTTCTAAATTATTTACAGTCTTTTATTACATTCATACTAATTACATTTTAAAGTACAATTAAAGAAGCCATATTTTGTAATTAAGGTAATAACAAGCAACATATATATACATATAGAAATTTGTATAAACCCAAAATCACTGAAAACATTGAATTCATATGTAAAAAAAGAAAGTAATCATAAAGTATTTGTGTTAAAATGCCACACAATTATACATTTGTGTGTGTGTGTTTTTTGATAGCAAAACCACACTGGGCTAACTGCTGTGTCCATTAAGGGGAGTCAAACCCAAAATTTTAGCACTGTAAATCCATAGACTTACTGCTGTCTCACCAGGGGATCCACACAGTTATATATATATATATATAGAGAAACATTTCCACTTACCAAGACGCTATAAAAGAACGGATGCATACATAGACCCAGTACACAGAATACGAAGTAACCAAGATGGTAGAGCAATTCAAAATCTGCCAAGATATGACGAAAGCTTTTGTTGAAAGTTCCATGATTGCCCATAATACTAACCAGATGGACAGAAGTTATGACCAACTGTAAAAAACCAAGTAATTTTCCACACATAAATGATGACTGATAAATAACAATACCATCATTGCTGACTTCATTTTACCCACATAAATGTTACTGAAATGACGCAACATTTTCATTCTTGCTCTAAAATTTATTTACAAACACAGATTTTCATTGCCACATTGTGTTTTCTGAATCTAAAAGTTACTTTATGTAAACGTGTTTCTAAAGGTTAATTTTTTAATAATTTATAAATGTTCAAATTTTTATTTAACTTTCATAGTTGTGTATTTATAGATTGTAAAAAAATTATGAGTTTTTTACTTAACAAATTTTACTTAACTGTTTTTAAATTTATTTCTAGTAAATTTGAAATTATAATAAACATTGCTATGTATAGCTTCACAGAATCAGGGTTAGTGCAATAAATTAAGCCTTAGACTGTATAATACAGAACAAGTTTAGCTATATAAGTATGTGCTGATATGAATTAAGTAATTTGAGTGAATGGTTCTGTAAGACATAAAACAAAAACTACCAGACAAATACATACATTTACAGCCCCCAAAAGCCACAAACTTGGCTGTAATCCTACTGAATAAACTAGTCGGAGAATAGTTGCTACAATAAAAGTTCGAATTCCTGAAGCCCGGGGTACTGTGACAATGGTTGCCAAAGAAATTAACATCACGGCCCAGATAAGACCTGACCACTGAAGAGAAATTTCTGGAAATACACATTAGAATTATTATAATATATCAGACCATTTAATTTACACATTCAACATCATATGAAAATTATTTTATATTATCAAAGACATACATATATGTTTTGTGCTATCAAATTTCAGATGTGCAATTTCCAACAAAGTGAATTTCATGAATATAACAGAATAGATCTTTACAAACTCAACTTTATTTCTATATTCTATTGACAAAGACTTTTGTGTTTTTTTCTGCTAAGTACAAAGCTCCACAATGGACTAAGTGTGCTCTGTTACCATGGATATCAAAACTCAGTTTTTAGGGCTACGAGTTCTCAAGCCACTGGGTGAAAAATCATGAACTGATGGATGACATTTTGAATAACTAAGTGTGTACATGTTTTAAATATTTACGAGGCCTCTGTTGCATTGTATTGACTAACAAGTTTTA